TGTTGACCCCGAGCGCTACCAACGCTGATCCAATACGACCTTGCTAAAACGAGGAACAAGTGGAACAACCCAGTAACAAGCGGAACAACCCAGTAACAACCCAGTAACAAGCAGAACAACCCAGGAACAAGCAGAACAACCCAGTAACAAGCAGAACAACCCAGTAACAAGCGGAAATGTGAATTAATTGTTTAGTAAATAACACAAGTTAGTTTATAATCCAACTCTCTGAAGTTTGTGTTGGCTAGAACTATCAAGAGGCCGTCAATCATGTCTTCGTCTGTTTCGGAGGCTTTGTGATTTTGCCAACGGACAGAGAGAATCTATGGACCCCGGGTCGGGACGAAAAATAGATAGTAAAGCATGTCTAAAGGGGTGTATGTCAAAATATTTATTTATTTCAGTTCTGATGTCGTTATATTCTGTTACAATTTATGTAAAAATATAAATGCTTGTTAGATTTTTGGCGGAAAGTTTCTCACCTCTCTTGTGAATATAATTTCTGTTTGCTGTTTAATATAATAAGGGGCGCAAATGCAAATTTTTTAGGGGGGGGGCTGTTCTTTGAAGGAACCGTGTTTTCGCCACGACAGACCAATTTTTGCGATATAAATATTGTCGGGGCCGCTCTCCAAGGCCGTCGCGAGGCAGGGTGGACTACAAGTTTACGGAGCAACTACCTTCGCTTGATCCTTTATTGATTTTATGACAGGAAAGTCTCTGAAATACCCAAAGCGTTTCTTCCACCGATCGGATTTTACCTGAAATTTCCAATTGAGATACTATTGAGGGAATGTGACTGTTGCTCTCGCATTCCCCTTTGAAATTTGCGCATCCAACGCCGCGCATAGCACGGAAACAAGATAAAGCATGTACATATGGCGAAAAAGTTATCGTTGTCGGTGGCAGCTAGAGTTTTTTTTCCAAAGCGGCAAAAATATCTCAGAAGACGAGAATAAACATAACTATAACTGACAGCAAGTTGCATCCTAACAAAAGCATTAGGGACGTCGTCCATCCAAAAACCCAGCAAATTCGTTCTGAAGGCATGTAAGGTTGCTCATACAGAGTTTATCATGTCCCAAAAGCATAACTCAATATTCATATAGTGAGTACAAGTTTGGCATCTGGCCATTAAGAACAGATTTTCTTCAAGTAATAGCTTACAAAACCTTAGCTTCTTATCGGTGAAAGTGTAGATTTAGTTGTAAATATAGGTAAAGCTCCAAGATAGAAAAGGCACGTTATGCGGCATGTATTCGGCATGTTGAAAAATGCCGTGGAAATGTTTTGCTCACAAGGTCTTTTATTCACTGTCGAAATTCTTCTGATTTCCGGATGCATTAAGTACACTCATTTTTTCATAATAAACTGGCTATAAGAAACGAGTACTGGACAGTCAGAAAAAATTAGGAAACTTCAGTACTCGAAGCAGAAAAAATTAAGAAACTATTAAAACGTTAAGAAACTATTGAAAATAAACGACATTTTTGTAAAATCCAAGAACATGACTTAACCTAGAACTTAAGACACAAATGATAAAAATATCCTTCCCACATCTAAATACAGCATCAGAACGGTAGCGAATCTCTTAACGGGATAAAAAAGGTCATGAACATTTCATAACAGTATTCATGGCATCATAATTAAGAAATTCTTGAGAATCAATGAGTATTGAAATTTCCAGAACATTAAGAAACTGGAGTACTCAACATCGACCTTTGTTTCTTATAAAAAAAATGAGAGTAGCCCACACAGGTGTTGCCATGTTTTTGCAATGGTGGTAATATCATCAAATCTCACACGTAAACCATGAGGTCTTGATTAAATCGCAGCTGCGCTGGTTGGGACCGGACTGGACCGATTCTGTCCCCTGTTATTTTTCGGTGATAAGCCCTCCCTAGAAAATGCGTCCACTATATGCCTCACTTTACTGCAATACAGCATGTTACCAGCAGAATGGGGACCACCTCAGCTTTAGGTGTGATAGACAGAATTTTGATAGCAAGGTGACAAACACGCAAGCAATGTTTGGCGTTTCCATCATCATCATAAAAAAATTAATTTATCTAAATACACTTAGTTGAAGAGCCATAATACACTCTAAATACAATCATATCTAAGTACACAAAATATAACGACTTCAGAACTGAAATGAATAAATATTTTGACATATCCAGATATTCTTATTTTTATTTAGCTTTAAATTCTTTCCTATAAAACATAGCAATTAGATAGACATAGAAAATTTCCGACAAGACCAGAGGTTTTCGGACAAAATAGGAGTCTAGCTCGAGGGGCAAATCACTCCAAGAAAATCTCGTACACCTTTTATGAAAATCCTATTGCTTTATCTGAAAATCCCTAGAAATATTTTTGTTTTGGTAAAATCTTGTACGCTATTTTCAAGAGTGAATTGCCCCTCGGTCTAGCTCTACAGGGGTTTGTTGCCCCCACTGATTCCTCTGTCTTAGCCACTGCCGCCAGAGCAGTTTACCCAGCATAGCTATTTTAGCAACCAAAATAGCCACCAGAGCAGCCATCATTTTCAAAAATTCTTGAGGGAGCATTCCCCATACCCCTTTAGGCATGCTTTACTATTTATTTTTCATCCCGATCCGGGGTCCACAGATTCTCTCTGTCCGTTGGCAAAATCACAAAGCCTCCGAAACAGACGAAGACGATTGACGGCCTCTTGATAGTTCTAGCCCACACAAACTTCAGAGAGTTGGATTATAAACGCCCCCATGTGTTATTTACTAAACAATTAATTCACATTTCCGCTTGTTACTGGGTTGTTCTGCTTGTTCCTGGGTTGTCACTGGGTTGTTCCGCTTGTTTCTCGTTTTAGCAACGTCGGCTCCAATAACGACGTCGCTGTTGAAGGCCGATGGTGCAAGATGGAGAAATCGAATAGCAAGGTTCCCGCAAAAGGAAAGTTAACTGCGGCGACGAAAAAAACAGGTGCGTTGTCTTCTTTTTAGTAGTGACTCTGACCGTATCATTGCTATTTTTGAGAATTGTTGTTGCTTAGCAAGCCGTAGGCCCAAGTCTAGGTAGGGCTAGGCTTGAGTATTGTTTTGGCGGCATTTTTTGCCAAATGTTTTGGTTCCTATTTGTTTGGAATTCAATTCATTCCCTTACCCTTTACTAAAGTAATCAAGTATGGCGATCAAATTAAGCAAACATCTTTGGAAAAAATTATAGGTAGAGAAAGATAAAGACATTATGTTTATTATTTCGAAACATCACTGTACGAAGTCCTTCGTTTTCAAGTCACAACACACGAAGCACGAAATTGAAAGCCTCAACGCAGAAACTCTTAAATCAAAGAACATTGAAAAATCTGAATCAAAATAAATCATGTCATAGATAAACGACACCGACAGACAACTAAATTGGCTGGCAAATTTTAACATTTGCATCTTTTCTGCTCAATAATTATGTTTTATATGCTAACCTAATCTAAGTTTATAGTACAGGCCCCATAATTGGCATTACATAGTACTTGTGGTTAGTAGTTTATTGTTTGTTTAAGAGAAAAATGATCATAAAAGAACAAAAGACGAGCCAGACAGCAGGACCGGATTGCTAAGCCTTAATTACATTGGAAAATTGTGTTTTTTTGAGGTTTGACATGCGAATTTTATACTAGACACTCTCAATGTATTATCAGCCCTTTTCGTTTAGCGCGTGCGATCGCACCCGCACACGCCTGCACACGCGCAAGTTAAATTGCGCGTGCTTTTGACCACACGCGCAAACAGGTGTTTTTGCAGTTTTCTGTTAAAGGGCCTCTCCAGCCAAATTTTGCACTTGCATTTTATTGCATCAGTTCCGTTCCACCAGCTTTTAGTTTGAGCATTTCAGACACCAATTCTGAAGCCTTTAGTTGTTCATCGTTTCTGGAGAACAACTGAAGTGTCAATTTCGATTAATTATACGCGAGGGAAGAGCTGGAACAGGAAGCCATAGCTTTGTGGGCCTACACAGGTGATCAAAACAAAGTCGCGACACAGCATGGACACATTCCGACACGTAAACTTTTTAGGATTTGTCGATCCTAAAAAGCTCCTGCTAAAGATTTGGATGCAGTTATCAACGCGTGACCACGAGTCCTTCACGCTTCGGTGGAAGATACCTTAGTCCCTTCAAATTTTGCCTGCCTTTAATTTTCGCCCCGGAGGGGGGCGAGAATTAGAGGGAGCGAAAATTAAAGGGAACTTAAAAAATTATTTTCTATAATAGAACCTTAGTTTTTAGGCCCTTCAAGAAAACTTCAAGTTACCAACTTGCGCGCGTCAAATTTTCATCCTGCGTTGATTGCTTTCATTGTTACAGTTCTCATTTAGTGACCTTCTGGAAAAATATCCATACTGAAGGTCATAAAAAAGATTTCTTAATCCTTAAAATTTTGACAGAGATGATAAACTTATGTCTTTTTAAGGGGCCTTACTGTACTTCAAAATAATATCCATTATCTTCGATAACGACACAATTCAAGAAAAAATGGCAAAAGCAATTTTTCAGTAAAAATTTTCCAAGCAAAAAAGATTTTTCAGAGGCCCGAGTGTAGTTCCATGCCGCATGAACGTTCATTGCTTGGAAACTGATTAGGTCAAAGCTTTGAAATTTAAAGGGTTTGGGGGCCAAAATTAAAGGGAGCGAACTTGTGCACAAAAGGGGGCGAAAATTAAAGGGAGCCAAAATTGAAGGTAGGCTAAATTTGAAGGGACTAAGGTATATGAAATTCATGGCGAACGAGAGCCGCACATTGTCAGAATGTCACCAAACTGATTCGGCTTTTGTCGTTTTTTTCTCGGAAAGGTGCAACTTTAAAGGCTTATAACTTCTCAACTAATTGGAATTTTGCACAAACAATGACTTTGTGTCGTAATACACGCACCAGATGCTAACTTTTTAGTCAATAAAAATTTTGTTTTGTTTTGCTGGAGAGACCCTTTAACATCAATTTCCTATGGTCTCATGATTGTTTATCCTTCCCCTTGTTACTTGATTCGCATTTTTGACCACAATATGATTTTTCCAATTTTCAGAAGTTTTGACTGAATGCTCCTTTCAACTTAGCGAATCGTCTTTCAGCTAAGTCGCCATTAGCATGTTAAATGTAATAACTGATTTCCTGTCAAAACGTAATTGTGCCCTGAAAGCAAGTAACTTTTTAAAGATGGCTGCTAAGGGCAACAAAATCTGTTATGTATTGATTGAATTGAGTTTTGCTCCTGCACGTATTCGAGTGGCTTTTCCCTTCTTGCTCCTTTTACCAATTTTATCAGGTTGGCACTTCAAATTTTTTTACAAGTGCGATCGCACACGCAAATTTGTTTACATGTGCGATTTGCCACACACGCGTAATTTTGTTCACGAAAAGGACTGTATTATTATAATATACTTAATGATTTTGCTTTTAATGTGAGTTAGAATCCTGTAGAATCTGCTTTTTTACTGCAAATTGATTGATATTACATTGAAAATCCGTTAGAAAAGATTTTTCCTATGGAGTGTTATATGTATATTCCTTACCCAAAGGCATGGAAACAAAAATATGCATAATTTCAGTGTCTACAGGCCTGGCCATTTGAAGCAAGCCATAGCTCTTGCTCCCCTCTAGGCTCTCCTCAAATGCTGGAGGAGAGCTAGAGATTGCTTTCCTAAATTGCTCTAAAAAACAAATTGCTCTCCTTGAAATCAACTTTTGCTTTGTCTATATTTTTATGTTTCTAGATATAGCTCACATATAGATTACTAGGAGAGCTGTTTACTGCTCCCCTGCTTAAAGTCTTATGACCAGACCTGTGTCTACAGGTACTTGCCCATCAAGTGCAATATGTTTATTTTTGTGTAAGAGCCAATATTTATTTCTTCAACAAAGTACTACCCAGAATAATTTACAGCTCTAAATTTATCTTAAAAAAATTCTTGCTGGTAATCATTTAATTGGTGATACTACAATATCGAGGACTTTCTTGCACAAATCCTGTTCTGATGCCTCTGCTTTCACCAATAGTTACACCTTCAATTAATTAAAGCCTAAACAATTGTAAAATGTATATTCCTCTCTGTATTTAAATACTTCTTCTATAACACCTGGGATTCAATTTTTTAGAAACTCCTGATGCACACAAAAAGAAAGAAGAATCTGCTGCATCCCTTCTTTCTGATACAGATGCACTCACAAATAAAATGGTGTTAAAAAAACGAAAAAATTCTGGTAAAAAATATGAACAAAATGTTTCCGTGTCGGCTCCACAGATGCAAAGACAGGGTCAAGATATGTGCATTCCTCAAAACATGTGCCTTATAAAAGAAGAGGGCAAGCTACAACCATGGATGGAAATTATTCTGATTCTGGTAGGAATTCCTTAATTATAATAGTGAGCAAGGGCCTTTTTACACTACATAAAAGAAATATACCAAAGTTGCTCCCTATTGTTTGAGCATCAGAGATTGTTATCAATTACAGGGCCATCAGAAACAGGGGGTTGGAGCCCCCCCTAATCATAATTTTCAAACTGTACTACATTTCTTTATAGCAGTGTACAGAATAGGAAGCAAAACAATTGGCAATCCCCTAATATCAAGATCTTGCTATTATAAATTTCATTCCATCAGCACTAATATATTCTCCAGTTGAGTAGTGCAAACAGACACATTTCTTATTAAGACCGGGTTACATGAAAGAATATTCTGATTATTCTTGTTTGTATTCAGATGAAAAATAATCTTATTACCTAATTCACTTTATAGTCACACCAAATGTTGCTTGAAAAGTTGTGATATTTAGCAGAGTGTGACTGTAAACAGACCTTAAATTAAAAGTTTTGCAGGTTTGGAACTAAAATTTTTATGTGACTGTAACCAAAAGTGTGACATAAGCAGAGTGACTGTAAGGGGTGGCAAATGTAACTCTTTTTATTAAGGTAAAATATTTTTTATAAGAAGCAGTGAATTGAAGTTCAAGCTGGCATGCCTGTTCTTAGTTATTTTGAAAAACAGAGGATGGATTATTCTTTATCTCTTCAATTGGTAGTGTAATTGATAGCTATTGTGCTCTAGGGAGGTTTACAGGCCTTGTTTGTCAATAGAGTAAGTTAGAAGACATCTTTCATTTCCTGACAAGGTTTAAAATTCACTGATAAACTCTTAGATGGCAAACACTCTATTTTCTAGATGCAAAATTGTTCAAAGTTACATTTTACAGTATTTCAGCCCTAGCTTTTTAGAAAACTTGCTTTGTATTTATAATTATAAGTGTGGTTTACAAGAAATTTATACAGAAAAACGATTTCCTTTTGAACAAAAAGACTTTCGTGTGAACAAATTTTGATAGAAGAGTATAGACTGAAGTTTTAAAATAATTAAAGTTCTTTCTCTTGCAAATGTCATTGATTTTTGTCAATCAAAAGTCAATATTATTCTATTCTGGGCCACCATAAACTCTGGGTCGACTTATACACATAAAAATATCATATGTTTAAAAATTCATTGAAAAGGAGTGAGAAACCTAGAACATATAGATGGCGCTATTCTTGATGTTATATCAATAGTTGATAATCATGTCGTAAAATATCCTTATCAACACATTCGGAGAATATCTTTACGATAGAGAAAAACATTTGTGCGAGTGCAAGCTATATTGATCAACAAAAAACTATCAACTATCACAAAAAATGTGGTCTCTAATCAAAACGAGGCTATAACAAAATGGAGTCAGGGGGTCTAAGCTATAATTCAGTACACTCCCCCAAATCAAGTGTCTTTACTCTTGATTTAATGACTGTGCATGTACTTTCAATAATTCGTCAGCTGCAAAAGCTGCTACTCTTCTTGGCTTGACTTTTTTTGCCTGAACTTTTATTTCTAAGGGGCACATTCCTTGAAGTGGTCTTTCCATTACAATCTTCCGCCCTTGAGATACCGCATCTAATCTTACTGCTCGAACTACATCATCTCTTCCTTTTATGTAACTGGAGATTTTGGCTAACTTCCAGAAACGTCGTTCAATGGTAGTATCTATGATCAATACCAAAGTTCCAAGCTCTGGTAATGCTTCTCCTCCTTTAGTCGTGCGATGATATTCGCGAAGACCTAAAAGATACTCCTTTAACCATCTATACCATACATGCTCTAGCTTAGCTCTCAAGAACTTCATTCTCTTGTTCACGTTCTTGTCATCAAAATCTGCATCATTGTCATGCTTGACATTTCCTATCATTGCTAGTCGATGACCATGAATCATATGATTTGGAGTGAAGGGCTCTTCCTCTAAATCTGATGTTTGATAGGTAAGTGGTCGATTATTTATCATTCCTTCAACTTCTATCAACATGTTTTCCAGCTCTCTAAAGGTTAGTTTTGCCTTTCTCATGGTCTTGAATAATGCTGACTTGGTTATTCCAAGTAATCTTTCAAAGAAGCCGCCTTGCCACGGTGCCTTGGCTACATTGAAATGCCAATCAATGCGGTTGGCCAACAAAAAATCCTGCAGTTCTCGCTCTACACATATCTTCTTCAAGTGCTTTGCAGTGGCAAGGAATGTTTTTGCATTGTCACTTATTACTGTAGCAGGTGCTTCACGTCTGCTGATGAATCTTCGAAACATTCCTCTAAATTCATTGGCTGTCATATCTTCTGTGAGCTCTAAGTGTACTGCACGGGTTATGCCGCATGTGAATAGTGCGACATATGCCTTCTCTTCATTCTTCAAATATATAGGTCCTGCAAAGTCAACTACGGTTGTACTAAACGGGTTGCCTCGAACCACCCTCTCTGCTGGTAGCTGTCCAGATTGAGGTGGTGCACATGGCTTTGCATTTCGCTTATTGCAAACCATACATTGACGTAATTGTTGCTTTACAGCCTGGCGTCCCTTTAAGACCCAAAACTTGCTTCTGACTTCCGCTAATGTTGTATTTACTCCCCCGTGTCGTGTACGCTCGTGACACTCTGAAATTAACAAACTTGTATATCTGCTATCCTGGGGTAACAGTGTTGGAAACTTGCTTTCAACTGGTAGTGTTGTGTTTTGAAGACGTCCTTGGCAGTGTAAGATTCCATTGATTTCTATCACTGCAAGCTGTGTCTTTATTTGTGAGTAACTATTTCTTCCTTTCACCATCACTTGTGTATCTTTTATCCACCATTCTTCTGCCTCCTGGATCTCTTCTACACGCAACATTTGAGTATCTGGCCTTTTCTTCTCCTTGAGGCAACTTATAAACCTAAGCACAAGAGCTGTAACTCTCAGCAGTTTGCCATATGAGACATAGTTTTCCGCAGGCACTAAATTGTTGATTGACAGACTTGGTTCTTCTTCAGCAATTGGAAGTGTATACTGTCTTTCTTCAGCCTTGCTTTCAACTGTTTCGATCAGGTGAGGCTGGTGGGGATAATTTCAATCCACTATGAACTCTGGTCCATTCTACGAAAGCTTGCTTTGCTCTAATTGCTGGGGAGACAATCCTCTTGTGCCCAAATCTGCAGGATTCTCGGCTGGTGGCACATATTTCCAATTTACATCCGTTGTCAATGCTTGTATCTCATCTATTCTTCGCTGGACAAACTGTCTGTATTGACCTCGATTCTCTAGCCAATGTAGCACTGTGCTGCTGTCAGACCACAGAACCAACTCTTCTAGCTCCCAGTTCTTTAGAGTTTCTCTGACTGTTTTCAACAAACGTGCTGCGATCCTTGCTGCTGTTAGTTCCAACCTGGGTATTGTCACTCTTTCCTTATTGGAGGTAACCTTGTCTTTGCAGTAACAAGGTGTGCACCTGACTGGTTTTCATTGTGCCATACAAGGTATACAGCAGTGCAATATGCAGCCTTGCTTGCATCACCGAAAACATGAATTGAAATCTTCCTTGGTCCACCGATTGCTGGCATAATGCATCAGGGAATCTTGAGTTCAGTCAACCTTGAAACAGCTTGCATCCATTTCTTCCATCTCATTTCAATCTCTGGGCTTACTGGCTCATCCCAATCCTTGTTTTCCTTGCAGATATCTTGGAATATCAGCTTTGCAGTCACTGCAACTGGGCCCACAACACCCAGTGGGTCATATACCTTTGACAGTCTGCTTAGGACTTCTCTCTTCGTCACTTTACCATTCTTCACATCTAGCACTGCTTCCATACTAATTCCTAGTGTGTCCTTTTCTGGATTCCATTTTAATCCTAAAATTTTACTTTGTGAATCTTTGGTACCTAGGCTTTCCTTTGCATACGTCACTGTAGTTGAATCTTTTTGATCACTTTTCTCCTCTATGTGCTTTCTGACCTCCACATGGTTGGTCTTCCACTTATGGAGTTGAAAACCTCCTTTTCTCATAATCGCTGTAATTTTGTCTTTCAACTCTATGGCTTGCGTACTGTCAGCAGCTCCACTCACAAGGTCATCACAATACATGTTTGGTAAGACATTTTGGACAACTGCTGGTTCTTCTTCTTCGTACTTCTTGAGGTGCCTTTGCAATGTTGCATTTAACAAATATGGACTTGGTCCACTTCCAAAAATGACTCTAGTAAACCTGTATTCTTTAACCACAGGTTTCTCATTTGTGACATCTTCCACCCACAGGAATCTCATACTGTCTCTGTCCTTCTCATCAACTAAGATCTGATGGAATGCACTCTTGATGTCACCAACAAGCGCCACTGGAAACATCCGGAACCTCAACAGCACATCATGTAGCATAGGTAGCAATGATGGTCCTGTGTATAAACACTCATTCAAACTCTTGTCTCCTTTTCTTTCTTTTGCTGACCCGTCGTACACAACTCGGACATTTGTGCTCTCCGCATTCTCACGTATTACTGGATGGTGTGGTAGGAAATGGATTCTTTCTCCTGTAGGATGATCTGGTACTTCCTCAATTATACCCTGTTCTATCTGATCTTTAATGACATCATCATATTTCTTTAATATTTCCGGTTCCTTCTTTAATCTTCTGAGTTGCGCATTTAGCCGCCTTTCACAAAGATTTCTGTTTGTTTGCAAATTGACTCTATCTGATTTCCATGGCAAATGCACACTGTATCTCTCTCCATTGAAAGTTACTGTATCTTCAAATTTCTCTTCCACTGAGTTTTCTTCCCTGATCCCTACTGTCTCCAAATCCCACAGTTTGGCTATCTGATTGCTCAGATTTTCCTTATCAGTTGTCAACAGCAGTGAACTTGAACAACTTTGATCCTCTGCTGAGTTTGTTGGTCCCATTAGAGTCCAACCCAGTGTTGTTTCTTCTGCAACAGGATCACCAGCATTTCCCCATTTCATGTTTCCTGTTTTGAGCTTGCAAAGGTCTTCCAATCCAATGATGACATCAATTTCAAGTTCTCTTTCACTTGAAATATCTGAAAATTCCAGGTTCTTCAAATGGTTGAATTTTTTCTTTAAAATCTGGGGCTTCACATTCTTGACAGATGTCAGCTTGCTGAGTGTGGACACCTCAGTTTCAAATTTCAGCTTTTCTGTCATGTCTTTTACTTCTATCTTGTACACTGAGCAGATATGTTGCCTTTCTCCATGCACAGTGTCCAGAACTTTTCTTTCCTGTCTTAATGGCTTGGATTTCAGCAAATTAGCAGTTTTCTGCAACATGTATGTCTTATCACACCCTGTATTCAACAGACATCTGCAAATAATACTTGGCTTTCCCTTGACATTCACTTTGGCTAACACAGTTTGATATGCTATTCCACCAGGTGTGACAACATGCATATTTGGAACACTCTCTTCTTTTTCACATATCACAGGGTGATGCTCCCCTTCATTGCACTTGCTGCAAGGCTTCTTGTTGTAGCAATCTTTGACACGGTGACCTTTCTTCAAGCAGCAAAAACATCTCTTATACCTCATCAATATTGACTTCCTCTTCTTCACTTCAGTGACAACAGAACAGTCAGCACTTCTGTGCTCTCCAAGACAAAAAGCACAGGTTGCATTTGGTGAAATAGCAAATGCTTTCCCTTTGTTAGGATTCCTCTCTTCTCTTGAATTCTGCACTCTTGGTGTTGCTTCATCCATACCCCTGAACAGAAGTTCCTCTCTGAGCTTGTTCAAAAATTCACTCATGGTCCACTCATGGTCTACAGACATTGTTCTTCTGATGGAAAGTTCAACATCTCTTGGTATCTTCTTCATTAAATCTGGTACAATAACTAAAGAATACTGTTCTTCAGAGGTACCTAATACAGATAATGCTTTTACATGCATATCAACAAGTTCATACAACTTTTTTAACCCATCTAAATTTTTAGAATAAGTTACAGCAACAACAGCCTTTAATGCAGACATGTGAGATCCCTTCAATACATTAGCTTTACCATATTTCTCTTTTAAAATGTCAACTGCAGGTGCATAATTGTCCCCAGTAGTTCGCAAATCTGCAATCGCATGACAAGCAGTACCCTTAAGAGAAGCCTTTAGGTAAGACATCTTGTCAACATCACACAATGAAGAATTCAAATGAATATTCCTTTCAAAAGAGTCCCAAAATTCCATCCAATTCATCATATTCCCATCAAATGACTTCAATTCAAGTTTTGGCAACCTTAATTTACTGCTCAAATTCTCCCCAGTATTTCTTCTTCCCATACTTGGTGAATACTGAGGTTGCCAGGGATGTTGTGGGAAATAATTTTGCATATAGGGGTTAAAAGGTTGCCCTAAAGGTTGGTACATAGAATATTGTCTTTCAAACCCCCCAACAGGATACTGGCTGTGTCCTTGTTCATTTCCAAATCTTCCTTCATGGGGTGAGTTCATTGAGAAAAATGAATTAGTAGTAGTAGGCTTACCAGCTGCTTGTCGAGAAGAATCATTCTGTTTCTTCTTTGAACATTTGTTAAGTAACATACCTATTTTTGCATCATATGAACGACTTGTTGTGTACTCTCTTACCAATTCTGACCTAAAATTCAATTTCTTCATTATCTCTTGAATATCCTTCGACACTGATTTTATATCCATCAACATTGGCTCTACAATCAGATTAATTGTGGCATTGAAAATTATCTTATTTTATGGAGTTAAAGGATATCTCGGAAATTGATGTGGTATGGTGAACAAATCGAGTTCAAGAATAATGGATTAAAG